TTTCCGTCGCTCTGTCTCCAAGTTATTACCCCCCGCCCCCCTTCCACACACTCACACACGTCACGCCGCAGCGTGTTGCGTGAAGTGGGGGGAAGAAAACAACACAAAATTATGTAGTTACATCATTAAATTCAGAAGGTTCAGTAGGGGATGGTTGGTTCTTCATGGCTGATCGAAGGGCCGGGGATCATTTCCACACCAGAAATGAAGAGGCACGCCGAAATTACCGCGGCCACTAGGATGGTCACAGCGAACGGCGCGCCTCGTTTCACCAGGCAATCCGCATCCCGAAGACATCTTCGATAGGAAGCAATACGGCCCCTCCGTCGAAATGGAGTAACCGCCCCTCCGTACGAGAAAATTGGTGTTGGCGGCCAATACACAGGTAAATTAGTTTGAGTAAACGGAACTCAGATCCTGGACAAATCTAAGTCATAGGGTAAAGTGCCGAACATGGATCAGGGTACTAAACATGGATCATTTCTGTTTAGGGGTCTATATCTTAAGACCAGGTGACCAGATTCTAAATTTCTGTCCTGTCTTTCCTTACTTAGACTGACCCTTTGACTGTTAGATGTGAAGCTGACAAGTTTGCAACTGCCTCTCTCTACTCTACAGGGTTGCGTTTAGACAGACGCCTAAAACAGACCCCCGAAAATCAATGGGAAAATGACGTTTAAAGAGGTGATTTTTGCACCTCTGATTCTGGGCCAAGAAATCACCGCAGTCACTTCAAAATTTTTCATCGTGCACTGAAGACAGACTACTTCGATATTTTGGGACAGCTGAAAGCATATCTTCCTAAGTGTCCATACGCTGGTGGGGTGATTTATGATTGGACCGCCCTAAGCTAACCTTAGCAAAAACAGCCATATTTTCTTGTCCTCACAACTTCCAAAGTATTGAAGTTGGTGGTGCCATTTTTGGTAGCCACATGACCACGAAGGTAAACATCAACATAAGATTAAAAAATAGGAGTCAACCCATGCTTAATTTCGATGTATGCAAGATTATTTAAAAAGTGATCCATGTCCCAAGGGAAAGAATCCCTATGATTTTAAAGGGACGGTCCCTTTCCGAAGGGGCCAAGCCCTATCCGAGAAAGGGCTTGGCCCCTTCGAAGGGGTCTATCAAGTTAGGGACCGGCCCTATGCACTTGGGGACCGGCCCTATGAGCTTAGAGATCGGCCCTTTGGACTCTGGGATCATCCCTATAGACTAGGGGATGGTCCCTCCAGATCACAAGGCCTGCCAGTTAGGCAAAATGTGGGTGATTTAGATAGGCAAACCCGCTACACACCTATTAAGGGTATCTTGTAAACGGCTTAAGATAGAGTGTCGGCGACACTACCATTGTGATCAGCGTCAAAAGTTTACTCCAGAAGCGTTTCTTATATTGTACATTGATGTTCAAGAGGTAGGTGATTTGAACACTCCGCGGCATGTCCCTTACTCAAAGGGATATTTCGCGGCCCTTTGGCAAGGGGACTGTCCCTATCCATAGGGACTGGCCCTACCATGGGGACCGTCCCTATACCAAGGGGCTACGAAACATCCCTTTAGTCAGGGACGTTAGGGATTTTTTCCCAACGTTGTGTAACCTTTCCCTACTTGAATTTTTTTTAAATGTAATGACATGTAAAGAAAATTTCATAACAGGCTGCGCAGTGTTATGAAACTTTCATTCCATGGCAGTGTCATTTAATTTTATAACCGAGGGAATGAAATTTTTCATTACAATGTAATGAATGTGGAGGTGTAATTAGAAATAATGACGTCTGACAAGAAATGTCAAAAGTGTCATTAAATTTCATTCATTTTTAACATGTATGTTTGGCAGTTACGAGATGACATGATACGATATTTCCACACGGACGTCTTTTCCAAAATTAAGGACTACTTCATGGACAGATCTGGATGTAATCATGCAATCTAACAAAACGGCCCAGCAGCTGGCTTGCTCCTTGGCAGTGTCATTTAATTTTATAACCGAGGGAATGAAATTTTCATTACAATGTAATGAATGTGGAGGTGTAATTAGAAATAATGACGTCTGACAAGAAATGTCAAAAGTGTCATTAAATTTCATTCATTTTTAACATGTATGTTTGGCAGTTACGAGATGACATGATACGATATTTCCACACGGACGTCTTTTCCAAAATTAAGGACTACTTCATCATGGACAGATCTGGATGTAATCATGCAATCTAACAAAACGGCCCAGCAGCTGGCTTGCTCCTTTATCCTCAGTCCTGATGGGCAGGAGAACCACAAAGGTAAGACGAGTGACTGATTCTTTGTACACTGCGGCCAAAAAGTACGTAAAATTCTGTTAATATTTTTGCCAAGATTCTTCGTAGCCCTCTTATCAATATTCTCCGTAGGGTCTTACAGTATCCTTCGTAGGACCGTACAGTCTTCTCCGTAGGACCTGCACGCTATAAATGGAACCTGGTTTTCCCAGGAAGCCAATAGTGAAGGCATAGGCGGTTTCCAGGGAGTTCCTGGGAAAACCTGGTTCCGTTTCCACCGTGTGGAAGACTCTATTCCTGCAGAGATCACTGTAAGGTCCTACGGAGAATACTATAAGAAGGTCCTGCGGAGAAAATTGAGAAGAGGGCTACGGAGAATTACCACTGGCTGTTAACAGAATTTTCCGTAGCTTTTTGCCATAGTGTACAATATTGTGCCACCTTCCATGTGAAGTGCTTAAAAATGTGTGTTTCATCTTTCAGTTCTAAGAAACACGGCAGCCTTGCAATCCCTGGAGGGCAGGTACCTGTGTGACATGAAGGCTCCAACCAACAGAGCTGCATCATGGCGTTTCCTTGCTGAAGAATCCTGGGACGTTATCTCAAATTAACACTTTTGGTTGATAATTAAATCTTCTGCATGTTTTAAGTTTTCTTTGATGTAACCTTTTTATACTCCAATGTTATGTTACTTGTCAGGAAACTAAAACCAATTCAGGCAGTGTTCTCTGCATATTTTAGGTTTTAAGTTTCAGGTTTACTGCCTCATGATTGTTTCTCGTATTTTAATGAATGACCAAATATTGTCTGTAAGTTATCATGACCATTGGACCTAGTGTTCTCTGCATATTTTAGGTTTTAAGTTTTAGGTATACTGCCTCATGATTTTTTCTCGTATTTTAATGAATGACCAAATATTGTCTGTAAGTTATCATGACCATTGGAACTAGGCAAACCCACATGTTTGTAATTTTCTTTGATGTGACCTTCTTTATAATTCTATGTAACTTGTTAGGAAACGTGTAACCAATTCAGGCAGTGTTCTCTGCATATTTCAGGTTTTAACATTATTCCTACTGTCTACTTGTGTTCTCGTTTTTTCATGAATATCCAATTTTTGTCTCTAGGTTTTCATGACCAATTGCACCGATGCAAACTGTTTTAAGATGTATTTAGTTCACTGCATTTTTCATATTATATAGAATATTATTTGTATTGAATGCCACTCATTCATCTAAGACACACAAGCCCCATTCATCACTGAGTACCAGCTCACCGGAACACAGAGGAGGGGAACTGAAGCGAGTATCATAAAACCGTGGAGGGACCCGGCCACTACCTGGCCTCGGACTGCCCAGGCCTCCCCGGATTCCCCTCCCCCCGCTTCCCCTCTCCGATTCGTTGGACCCGCCCGAAGACAGTCTTCGGGTATGTTCGGCACCGGGTCCTACCCCCCACCTGACGCCCCGCCACCCCGCTGGAGCCGAAGCCGCGCCGAGTGCAGCCGAATGCAGCTCGGGCGGGTCCAACGGACGGTCCCGCGCGGGGCCCGGGTCCGGCGGGGCGACTGCCAGATGTGGCGACCCGGGCCGGCGGCGGGTCCTGGGCCGCTTAATTGCGGTACGACATAATTGCACCAAAGGATAAGGCGTTTCACATCCCCTCTTCTGTAATCTGGTACCAGCTCATTCCATTATCTTTGGGAAGGGGGGTGGGGGGTGTATCTGGACCGTCGCCTATACCTTACAGGATAGGGCTCGTTCATTACGCGAAATATGGCGGTACGAAAGTATGACAATTTCACGAACTGAGACCAGCAGACGACGCCAGTAGACGCTCAAAACTAGCAATATTTAAAGACTCTGACGATTTCTTACCAGATCTATGTTAAGAGGTCGTTCCTCAGCACACAAACAGTACTCCGTAACATTAATTCTTCACATATTTCCTTCAAAGGTTCGAATAAAAGTGTTAAATCGTGGCCTGACCATCCAGCCCCGTTTGAACTGCCGCGCATCTTTGCTGTCAAGCCTAGTTTTAGAAAGTACACTACAAGAAAAAGTGTGGATAGTACAACAAAAGTACGACAAAAACTGTACAATGAAAGTACAACAGGGATTGTGGAAAGTACAACGATAATTGTACAAACCACAACCAGCCCTGGACTGCCCACCACTCGTCATGCCGGCTCCGTTGTACTTTGTACAACAATTGTTGTACTTGAAAAGTACACTAAATTCCTGATAAAAAATTTGCCAGAAATTTGTGTACTTTTGTTGTGGTTATTTTCTGCAGTGTATCAACTAAGCTCTCTGAAGCACTTTGGGTGAAAGAACAAAACTTTCTGTTTCTAGACAGGGATTTGTTTTGCTCGAGAGGCAGATTATTTGCAAGATTCGATCAATTTCTTAGGCGTCGGCTGCTCCAGACTCAGTTCGCGAGAGAACGTTTTCGAGTCCTTATCTAGAATGAAGGGGGGTCTGGGGGCGGAGCCCCCCAGCATGCACCAAGTTAGAAGTAACCGATGATGGACAAGCCATTGCCTGCCGAAGGCAGGCTAGCGCCGCAGGCCAAGGTAAGTACGCCAGGCGCGGATTGGAGGAACAGGCAGCGAGACATCGCGAAGCCTGTTACGACAAGACGCGGTCTGGCGTAAACCTACCTTGTTATTAAAGAAGGACAGACAAGTAGTGCAAATGAATCGTGTATTTGATTGCAAACAAAACAAGAACATCCTGCAGCCACCTCACCCTTGTCATGAACATAAAACAGTACAACTTAAAAATAATTAACAGGCTGAAACAATTAAAATGAATTAACAATTAAGAAAGAACATGCCCGAGCGTGATTATTCTAGGGATTTTAGGTCCCCTCACCGTAACTAGGGACGCGGGAGTGGCCTTGGGAGGCTAGACTTGGATAAAGTTCAGGCCACGGGAACAAGTCACTCCGCTTCCGCTAGTGCTAGTCCTCGCCCATGGAGCATATCACACCGCGTTCGGAGAACAGCGTCAGGAGGTCGGGATCGGAACCCAGGTCCACCGTGAGGAGTCGCACCATGGGTACCACCATGGTAGCGATCATGTCACGCGGCGTGAGCTCGCCCAGTCTGAGGCGCAAGGCGGTGGCCTCGGAGGCCACGCGGCCCAGCTGAGCGAACACCAGGCTGACCAACTGCGGGTTGTGGGCGTCCCAGTCGCCATCTTGACCCGCGTGGATCAGCGACTCGAAGTTGTACACGCCGCGCAGCTCCAGGCGGCGCAGGCTGGCGAGGACCGGGCACTCCACGAGCTGGGCCAGCAAGTTGCCGAACACGCCCTGGGCGTAGGGGCTGTCATAGTAGAAGTACCTGCAACCGGAGGTGTGTTGGAGAGGAACGCAGCACAGCGAGCCAGAGGACCAGCGCAGGCGGCCAGTTCAACATGCGTTTTGAGCTCCAGAGTCGCTAAATAGGACCCGAATCGAGCGTGTGACCCCACCAATGGATTGCTCTCCGAACGAGGAATCGATTGGTGGGGTCATACGCTCGGTTTGAGACCTGTTTAGAGACTCACGAGCTCAAAACGCGTCTTGAGTTTCGGCCGCCAGCGCCGGTCTTCTGGCCCACTGTGCCAGAGTTTCTTTATCTCACACTGCGAGAGAAAAGTACGGAACATGTCTGGTCAATAATTTGCCTGGACCGTCGGTACCTGTCCTACTGCGGAACTCGATTACATGAGTTCTTATGGGACAAGTACGGACGTTCCGTACTTTTTTCCGTACTATTTTCGTACCAAACTACGGATTTTCATACAGTGCATCAAGAAATGAACGTACCAGCCGCGGGCGAGCAGCAGGCCGAGCCTCTCCAGGCGCGGCATGGACCCCACCACGGCCATGTCCGTGAACACGATGTCCAGGGAGCGCAGCTCGGTACACTGGGCCACGGCCACCAGCACGGAGTCCGGCAGGCTGATGTGCGGGTAGTACTTGGTATCCATCGGCACGAGCTCCAGGTGCTGCAGGGTGGCCGCCGAGCCAGCCAGCAGGTCCTGCAAAGAATCAAGGATTTAAGGATTAAGGCAAGTCGGGTTCATCGGACTAAATACCCCACGGAATGAACGAAATCGTTCTATGCTTAAGAAAAAATTAGTACATATTACATCCCCCCCCCAAAAAAAATAAATGACGAGATGAAAAAAGTCAATACGAGGCTGAGAGAGTGAGACTTTAGTGTCTCGCACTTGTAGGCTTGATACAAACGTGGCTCACAGTTGCGATCGTGAGACGTGGTTCACGATAAAACGTGTAAGGCTGTCTCACATTTTTTTGGCAGTGTATCAGCACATCACTGCGGCAAAAAATCACAGTAAATCCTGGAGTGATTAGTACATTTGCCACTGTTGTTCAGAGTACAGGATTTACTGTACATTTTTAACAGGATCGATCTACTGTACATTGTATGGGATTTACTGTAAATCCTGTGTTCTGAACAACTGTAAATCGCGGCAAAAAATTAACGGGATTTACTGCACTCTCAGCCGTTTAATGACTATTTCTCATTAGCAGACGCATTACTGTAAGCAACCCCATAAAACTTAATATTAGTTCTTAAATACTTAAAAATTTCTTTGTAATTTACTAAAACAAACGGCAATATCAGTACAGAAATTAGCCATTGCTAAGTAATACTGACATAAAATACTAAGTATTGCGGTTGCTTACAGAGCGTCTGCTAGTGAGAAATAGTCAGTATAATGCTGAGAGTGTGTGCACACTAAATTCTTATGGACTTTTTAAATGCATAAGAACGCATTTTTTATTGGCTGAGCGATAGCGAAGCCTGTTACTCCAGTGGGGTTAAAAAATTTTTCCTGTCTGTCTGTGTGTGTGTCTGTCTGTGTGTGTACACTACTCCTCCTGAACGGCTCGGCCGATCTGGCTGAGATTTTGCAGGCTTATTAGGTATGTCCTTGGCTCGGCACACGCGAAATTTCACGATCCTAGCTCAACTGGTTCAGTTTTTATAGCCGAAAAACACCTTAAAAACGGCGAAAAATCGAGTTTTCTGCAGGCAGATCACTTCTGTCTTGAAGAAGGGGGGTTTGGGGGGCTCCGCCCCCAGCATCCATCAGGTTAGAAGTAACCGACGATGGGCAAGCCATTTGCCTGCCGAAGGCAGGCTAGCGCCGCAGGCCAAGGTAGGTACGCCAGGTGCGGATTGGAGGAAAAGGCAGCGAGACATCGCGAAGCCTGTTACGACAAGACGCGGTCTGGCGTAAACCTACCTTGTGCATAGTTATGCATGCGCAGAAACGTCCATACGGTATGTATAAAATTATGCATCACTGTGTACATTTTATGCATCTTCCTGCATAAAATGTACACAGTGATGCATAATATTATACATAACGTATGGACGTATCTGTGCATACATAACTATGCATAAAAAAGTCCATAAGAATTTAGTGTGTGGTTTTATCGGACAGTGATCCCTACCAGCACGAAGTCGAAGGGGCCGGCGGCGCAGTGGTAGGCGAGGCTGAGGCGGCGCAGTCGCAGCCCGCAGCCGACGAGCTGGCCGGCGTACCGCCGCGTGTCGCCCACGCGCAGCGACAGCGTCTCGAGGTGCTGCAGGGCGGCGACGTGGCGCAGCAGGCGCGGCATGTGCGACTTGCCCGGCGCGCGGGACTTGAGGTACGGGTTGGTCTTGCGGTGCCACAGCTCGGGCAGCAGCGCGTCGCCCAGCGACAGCGCGCGCAGCACGGACCGGCTGCGGCTCAGCATGCACGCCACGCTCGCGCGCTCGCGGTCCCCGAGCAGGTGCGCCACCCGCGAACGCACCCCGTTGCCGTCGTCCAGGTGCAGCTCCTGCACACGGAAGCGCACACACACTGTCAAAATTTGAGTCGTCACTTCACTCTCAGACTCGTATTGACTTTATATCTATCTTTTGCCATAAAGGTTTTCGTGCAAACGTAATATGTACTATTTTCTCTTTGGCTATGCACTATTTTGTTCATTGTATAATGTTTATAGTCCATTAAACCGGACTTAATGTCATTTGCAATGTACTTTTCAATTTCTACATGACTTATTGACAATTATATCCCTGAAACGATCAAAATTGTGAAAGGAGAAAATAGTACATTTTAGTAAAGGAGAAAAGGAGAAGTAAAGGAGAAAATAGTACATTTTACGTTTGCTCAAAAACCGCCAAAAGCAAGAGAGACAAAAGTCCATATTGGTCTGAGCGTGTTGAAGACAATTTCAAGGCTGCAGGGTTGCCGCGCAAATATGAAATTTTCCTTTTACCGGACTTTCCCTGACTTCCAGACCATTATTTGACGTTTTCCCTCGACTTTCACACTAAGTGTTGAGTACAACTTTGTAGAAGACATCACAGTTTTTCAGCGCACACGAGATTTGTGTACAATTTTCGTACGAAAAACTGCACATTTTCCGCCATTTTGGAACAAAATTGTACAAAATTCAGTACAAAGTTGTACGAAAAGTTCGTGTGCACAAAGAACTGTAATGTCTCGTACAAAATTTGCACAAAAACATTTAGTGTGCACACTCCCAGTCTCATATTGACTTTTTATCTCTTGCCAAGAAGTTTTTTAGTGCAAACGTAATATGTACTATTTTCGTTTTGGCAATGCACTATTTTGCTCACTATATAATGCATTCAGTCCATTACGCCTGACTTCTTGTCATGTGCGATGTGCTTTTCAATTTCTACATGACCTATTGACAATTTTTATCAATAAAACGATCAAAATTGTTCATAGTTAAAGAGATAATAGTACATTTAACGTTTGCTCAAAAATGTTATAAGCAAGAGAGAAGGAAGTCCATATAGGTCTAACAGTGTACTTGTCTCTCTCTACCTGCACAACGGCCCGGCTGCAGCGAAACGCAGTGAACAGGTAGACCTTGGCGACGGGGTGGTCCAACGTCCCCGGGAAGTGCAGGCTGCGCAGGAACGGCGCGTGCATGATGGCTCGGGGCGCCAGGAAGTGGGCGTGCGGGTGCAGCTGTGGGGAAATGCACTTATCAGTGTCGACATACGATATTGACCTCATGCGTATCGAGAAAAGGGTCGATATATGACGAATCACAAAACATGCAGGAGTTTGAAAACTACAGTCGTGACACGGAAGAAAGAAATTCGTTGAACCAACGAAAAAGTGCGTTGATTCCGTGATAACCGAAAAAATTGGTTGGAGCTACGAAAACTTTCACTGTGGCTAAAAGCTACGGAAAATTCTGTAAACAGCTTGTGGTAATTCTCCGTAGCCCCCTTGTCAGTATTCTCCGTAGGCTCTTACAGTATTTTCTGTAGGACCGCACAGTATTCTCTGTAGGACCTTACAGTGATCTCCGCAGGACTATACAGTCTTCCATGCCCTACGGAGAAGACTGTGCGGTCCTACGGAGAATACTGTACGGTCCTACGGAGAATACTGTAAGAGCCTACGGAGAATATTGATAAGAGGGCTACGGAGAATCCTGGCAAAAAATTAAACAGAATTTTCCGTACCTTTTGGCCACAGTGTTGAGTGACGAAATTTTTGTTGGTAGAACCAACAATCTGTTAGCCCAACTAAAAGATCCGTCAAAGCAACAAAGTCATGATTTTGTCTCTCCAACTAACGTGCCAACGAAATTGTTCGTCAGACCAACAATTTTTTCGTTACGAGAACAAACTTTTCGTTACTCAAACAAACTTTTTTCGGCTATCCCGGAATCAACGTCCTTTTTCGTTGGGTCAACGAATTCCTTTTTTCCGTGGATATCGGGACCGATATTTATTGCGAAATCGCACTTGTGTCGATGAGGCATATCGTATTCCGAGAAGTCCTTCCTATGAAGGAAGACCCGAAGGGCGACAACTCAGTAGAGTGCACCTTACAAGACTCACAAATTCCGCATTGTTTAACATGTTCACGCCGCAGGCGATTTAGGGTGGAAAAGCCCAAATGCCGAAGGTGCTAAAATCTAAACTATATGTCGAAATCAAAGAATTTCGCTCATTAAACACGTGTGTACACTGAGTACGAGATTAATCTGCACACGTGAGAGCAGATTCATTCATCGCAACAAACTCTTAGAAGGGAAGTCTCCTATTTGAAAGCGTAATTATACCGAAATTGTTCTAAAATTATAATAATTTTTGGAACAGTGCGATTACCCTACAGCCTACCTGCGGGTCAGCTTGCGGGGTGCCAGCCGGCGGGTTGGCGGGCTTGATCCGGACGTCGGTCCACAGGCGACGGTCACGTGACAAGGCCAGGTCCTTCCAGCGTCGGCACACCCTCGGCACCACGTGCAGGAGGAGCTCGGCGTCCTGCAGGTGCTCCAGGATCATCAGCAGTATCTCGTTGGGCAGCGCGTCAATGGCTGCAACCGGAAGAGCTGTGGTCAAAACATTCTCAGAATGTTAATGACTCTTAGCGAGACTTAAAGACTTTTCCTAACGAATTTCGTTTTTAAGCAGCAACAAATGGCACTATTTCCTCTGTATTTAAGTGAGATTTTGTTCGTTATAGACTCAAAGTCAGTCTGATATTGGCAAAGAGTCCATTTGGAATTGACTAAAAAAAAGTAAATAATTGATGACAATTTAGTCTTCATAGTGAACAAAATTGTACATGGTTTCAAAGGAAATACTACTTATTATTGCTGCTGAAAAAAAAAAACAAAAAACAAAAGCAAAGGAGAAAAAGTCAATAATTGGAAGAAAAAAAGTGAATACTAGTCTGAGAGTAAACATTTCAAGATTTTTTTGGCAGATTTAAAGATGTGTTCTTTGCAAACAATTAGGTTCGATATGTGAAAAGGTTAAAGTTTACGTTTGCTGCTGATTGTGTTGAAAGAAATTGCAATGACCGATACACGAGATTGTGCGTAGATACGCGGGACTTTTATTATTGACATTTTGTCCTTTGCTTACGTAGTTTCTTAAGCAGCAATAATATGTAGTATTTCCTTTGTAACCATGTACAATATTGTTCACTATAAAGACTAAATTGTCAATTGACTATTTTTTAAGTCAATTGCGTATTGACTCTTTGACAATAGCAAATTGACTGTATGTCAATATAACGAACGAAATCCTACATAAATGTTGAGGAAATAGTACTTTTTATTGCTGTGTAAAATCCTCTTCAACAAAGGACAAAAAGTCAATAACAGTCTGAGAGTGTAGTACAGCTCAAAAAAACGTTATCAGCAAGAGAGAAAATGTCCATATACGTCTGAGAGTGAGCTATGTGTCTTGTTTAGCTATAAACAATATTCCACTAGAAGGTAAGTAAGGATACTCACTGTCGGTCCCTTGGAAGGCACGCGTAGGAAGCAGCTTCAGTCTGGATAACGCATCGGCGGCACTCCTAGGGACGAAGTTGTAACACTCCACTCTGGCCATGGCGGCGGCGGCTCGTCGACCAGGGCGTACACACGCCCTGCGTTCAGAACTGCAACAAGCGGTGCACTTGCTCGAAACTAGTTTCGTAAACGAGGTACGAAGGGGTGCCTGGCTTTTTGATTTCTTTTCATTCTCAGGCCTATATGGACTTTTTTCTCTCTCGCTTATGAGATTTTTAGAGCAATCATAAAATGTACTATTTTTTCTTCAACTATGCGCAATTTTGATCGTTTGTCAATTGTCAATAGATCATGCAGAAATGAAAAAGTACATGGCAAAGGACAAAAAGGTCAGGTTTAAAGGGCTGAATACATTGTACAAAGGGCAATATAGTGCATAGTTAAAGAGAAGATTGAACATATTACGTTTGCACGTGCAAAGTTAACTTTGTGGCAAGAGATAAAAAGTCAATACGAGACTGAGAAAGTTGTTCTTCACTCGGCGACGACGGAAAGCATACCACGTCATGCAGCTTAGGACGCTAATGGGGCCCCCTGGACGCAGGTTACGCTGGCTAACACCCACAGCGTAACGTTACGCAAGATTTCTCACGGAGTTGGTTTGAACTTCTGCTATTTGGTCTCACATGAAATGAGAATATAACGAAACATTTTTCAGACTGTTTGTCCTCTCCCCCTCCCCTCCCGAAGGTATTTTCCGCCGTGCACATAGATAAGAGGAAAGAAACGCAGAAAATCTTGGACGCTTGGGCAGCGTGCTAATATTACGTTACCCAATTAAGGCCTCTTTTACCCCCTCCCCCCACACAAAAAAAATCGTCGGTTTAACCTAACCTTTCCATGTGTTTCAGATAGGACCGTCATAGGAGATAGGATAGGTCATCGGGAGCCAACGCCCCCCTCCCCCCTGAAATGATGACGTAACATTTGCACGCCGCCAAAGACGACGCACAGAGGCTGTGTGCTTTACACAAGGGCGTGTAGACTACGCTTCGCGAAAGGCACTAAGTTACGCCTATATGTAAGTTTTACCAGTGTTGGTCTCCAGGCACTTGCGCTCCTGCCGCTGGACCGTGTCACGAGAGACTGCCGCCCACACGGCGAGGCTGCGCGTGTTTTAATGCTGCCTGCAACGCCTGCGCCGCGACGGAAGCGCGCCCTTACGGCCAGAACGCGTACTAAGCGGCGACCTGCTGATGTAAGCGCATGCGCACAGTGGGCCAGAAGACCGGCGCAGGTCGCCAAGATCCTACACGCGTTTTGAGCTCCAGAGACGCCACTCAGGACTCAATCCGAACGTGTGACCCACCAATGGATTCCTCGTTTGGAGAATAATCGATTGGTGGGGTCAACACGCCTGGGTTAAATCCCATCTAGCGACTCTGAAGCTCCAAGCGCGTCAAGAATCTTGGCCGCCTTCGCCGCTCCTCTGGTCAACTTAATGCGCAGTGCTGCACAACAGCGTCAACGGCGTGCTCTCTGACGGCGGGAAACGGAAATGCCCAGTAAGGATAAAATCGCCTACTGGCAGAAGTGTCCAAAGACGCAGTCGTAGCTGAAGAGATAAGGGTAGGAAACAGGAGAAAGAAGTAAGCTGACTTAATCTAGGCTTGCTCTGGCACTCTGTTCTTCCCTTCAAAGGTAACATTTCCTCATTTATCTGTGGCAGTACGTTATTTCAACGAATCTCTGAACCATTAGGCAAAGAACAAAAGTAAGACTTAAATCCGCTACGGGGCATGCATCTGCCCTCCATTCAGCGTCTGCGCATGTGCAGATGCAGCTTCATTCTTCCTTTACTTCTTAGACTTTCGGTCCAAGGATCCTTATAAGTTTTCAATCAAAGTCTTCCTAGAACACAGGCGGCATCTTCCTTTCTCCCCTAACCTCACTTAGGTGAAAAACTCTCGTAATACGAAAGAAAACCACCTTCGTATTATATTTGCGCCACTTCTTTCGTACTATGGGAAGTTTCTTCGTAAGACATTTAGAGTGTGGCGGTTTTCACAATCAATCGTCAAGGGATTTTTCCGGGTTCGCAAGACCATGTGTACCGTCATAACATTTGGAGTGCTCTTCCTGTCGTATCGAATCACCCTCTTGCAGTCGTGCATCATTGTTGTCACTCAGTTTCGGCCTGACTGTTGAGTCTCGTCGCTCAGAGGTTGATTGTCTCACCTTTGGATTTTCAGTGGACGTCACACTCTCAGACTCGTACTGAGATTTTGTTTAGTAATGTATTGACATTTTTGTTTGTTCTTCGAACAATACTATCAATTTCGTCGTAAAACCTTCCTAACAAAACTTTATTAATGTGCTCAAACGTCAATGAACATTGATAAAATGTCGACTGAGGGACGAGAGTGCACCACCTTCATGAGGATGCATTCTTCTATGTCTTACGAAGAAATTTCCCATAATGCGAAGGAAATGGCGCAAGCGTAACACGAAGGTGTTTTCCCCTCGTATTAAGAAGGCTTTTCTTTGTATCTTACAATGAAAGAGCTTAAAAGATTCGTGTTACGAAGAAATATTGCTTCGTATTATGCTTGCGCTGAATTCACTGCAACATACAAATAACTGAGGTTAAATTTCATTTTTAGACATTTAGAGTGTGAGTCGTTATCAATCAGTACTAAAATATTGTGCGAGGTATTGTTGGCTGTGAGATAGCGAAGCCTGTTACTCTAGTGGGGTTAAAAACTTTCTCTGTCTGTGTGCACTCTCAGACTGTTATTGACTCTTTGTCTCTTGTGACAGAGTTTTTTGCACATCAATAAAAAGTGCCATTTCCTCAATATTTATGTTAGATTTTCTTCGTTATATTGACTTCAAGTCAGTTTGCTATTGTCAAAGAGTCGATACGCAGTTGACTTCATAAATGGTCAATAAGTGATGACAATTTAGTCTTTACAGTGAACAATATTGTACATGGTTACAAAGGAAATACTACACATTATTGCTGCTTGAAAAACTACGTAAGCAAAGGATATAAAGTCATTAATGGAGAGATGAAAGTCAGTACGAGTCTGAGAGTGTTCCTTGTTCATTTGGGTGAGCATTTATATCACCCAAATTTGGCAAGGAAATCAACCTTAACCAAGTTTTGGTGAAAATATTACAATATGGGTGAGCGCTGTAATATCTGGCCATGTGGGTAGTTGATACACCCTTCCCCACCCAAATGTCGGTAAAAATATGATCCTTATCCAAATTTGAGTGATACCTCGCCCATAGCTCGCTCAAGTATATCTTCTCTCGCAGATGGAGCCGCTGGAGCTAGCGACGTTGCCGGATGAGGTCATGATAGAGATCCTGAAGTACCTCTCGGCCCCGGAGTTGCTGAGGTGCCGGGCAGTGAGTCGTCGATGGAGGGACCTCGCGCTTCACCCGTATCTGTGGCGACGCTTCACTTTGAAAAGGTAAGTACACTAGGAAAACAAATGCCTCAACGCACTCTCAGACTCGTTTTGCCTCCAATTATTGACACGGAAAAAACGGTTCCTGGTTTTCCCAGGAACCCCCTGGAAATCGCCTATGTCTTCGCCATAGGGCTCCTGGGAAAACCAGGTACCGTGTTTACCGTGGACTTTTCTCTTGCTTGTCCTTAGTTTTCCCAGAACCGCAGTGTTCTAAGCAGCAGCAATTTCCTTTGTAACCGTGAACAACATTGTTCACTATAGAATTGTCATCAATTATTGACCATTTTTGGAGTCAATATTGCGTATTGACTCTTTGTTATAACCAAACTGACCTTGATTCAATTGTAACGATCAAAATCTTACATAGAAAAAGGAAATAGGAATTTTGATTGCTGCGTAGAAACTCTACCAAAGTATGAAAAGTCAATAACAGTCTGAGAGTGCGCGACGTGAACAAATTCCGCCCCTGGAATGAAGTGAATCGATTTTTGCCCTTGGGAGGGGCGTAAACGACTCGTCCACCACATGAGATGGGCCTATGTACGAAATATTTTGAGCACAGAGTATGCTAGTAATTTACTTTGTTATACGAAGAAATAGCTCGTAAATTACGACGTATTTTCTTTGTAAGCTGATGTATGCTCAAAACACTTTGTTATAACAAATTGCTTTTCTTCGTAAGGCCTAAAATAGGTTGTAAGGTTTTTCTCAGTGTCCCCTAACTTAGCTACGTTTCTTATTGTTGCAGTGGCGACCCGCACTTTTGGACCGTGCTTCGTCTCGTCCCATCTGTTGGTGGCCTCTGCGTCGGCAATCTCTACCCATACTGGCGTCCCTTCAAACCGACTTACCCACAATTTATGTTGCTGGCCGTGGACACGAACTGTGCAGCCTCTGAGCTACGCATGCTAGTCTGTGAAACGCCGTTGCTGGTTCTGGGCGCCCTCATGGTTCGCAGGTATGGTCGGCACAGGGGCGGGGTTTACAACGTGGTTGGTTGTCTCGCAGCCACCCTTCTATGTCCCCATTTTTCGGCTCTGCCCGATCTAAAATCTCGGTGTTGGGTCATCTAAGATTTACCTTTCTGCACCTGATAAAGCAATCGCGAAACTAGTAATTGACTATGCTTAATTTCCGTCTGCCTGTCCTATCCAGACAAGCGGCACTGGGCCGACTTCGGGAAGTGAAGCTCAGCCTGCGTCTGTCAGGCTCCAAACCAACCGCGAGTGTCCACACCCTGCTGCAAGAAATTCGCGCTGTGCAAGGTAAGGCCGTATTTCTTTAAAATCAGAGATCACAAATTTGGGGTTGGTTGTGGTCGAACTCAAATAGAATTGCTCCACGGCCGCCTTGAACTTTGGTGGTAAATGTATATCACTCTAAAAGTTGTGTACAGTCAAGGTTGTCCACTCTCAGCACGTTACTGCCTTTTTGCTCATTTTGTCAGTAATTATGCAAGTAATTTGTTCTACCATTATACGTACTCTTCCTTTTTTTAAAGATCTACTTAGGAAATATTATATTATGTACTGGGGTCATTCCATGGGGGTTCGACATTCTTTTGCAAGTGATCTCTCCGATTTCGATGAAACTTTGCGAGCTTGTTGGCTATGGTCTGAAACCCCCCAAAACCAATTTTGAGCAAAAAATACCAATTTTTGAAAAAGTTATGGCTTGCGTTAGAAATTTTGATTTTCGTTGCAGACCTTTTTTGAAAACGCTGTAGTTTCTTCCAAAATGAAGCTACAGAGCTCATTCTGGGCGCATTCGAAAGGTATTGAATTGGACTTTAAGACTTTTGCAACATGTTGACAAAAATTTTCAAATTTGACAAAAATTGAACAAAGTCAAAATTTTGAACACAATTTTCTCAAAAGTAGTATTTTTGATATTTTTTCTTTTTTGATATGTTATAGTCCATACTTAAGTCTAGCAACCCTACAAATTTGGTTGGAAAAAATTCATAAACAAGGAAGAAAAACGGTTTTTAGTGTTGCGATTCGGCAAATTTTCGCTAGTTGGAGTGGTGTGGAGAGGAGCATGATGAATATTTGAGACCACAGGTTCTCGATCTTGAACTTGTAGTGTCGCTCGGAACAGTTATTTGGGGTGCTGAACCTACAAATAAGGTCTATTTTCGTTTTCGAAATTCTCAGGGGCGGATCAAGAGGGGTGACTTTTCAAAAATCAGGATTTTTCGATGTTGCAACGCGATTTCTATGTTTTCAGGGGCGGAGATAACGAATCTTGAACGGTATTGGATGCAAGTTAGCTCTAAAGCTGATCTAACGTATCGTCAAAACATAAAAATGTGCAAATAGATGATCAAAAAGCCCCCAAATGTGAACATCTTTGGCCCATTGCAAAAAGTAAAGCTAGTGTTGTTACCTACACCCCTGTTAACATCAGAATCAACTTCGACATCCAAACATCTCGAATTCGGAAAAGTCACCCCCATTGACGCACCCCGTTGTTGAGATTACCAGTGGCCAGGTGAGCCAAAGGGAGTGACTTATCCAAGTTTGGATGTTTTGACAATACTTTGGATCAGCTTTGGAGCTAACTTGCATTCAAGATGATTCAAGATTAGTTGTCTCCGCTCCCAAAAATATAAAAAACGATATGCAACATCCAAAAATCCTGATTTTTTTAAAAGTCAACCCTCTTGATCCGCCCCTGGTAAGCTCAACAACGGGGTGCGTCAATGGGGGTGACTTTTCCGAATTCGAGATGTTTGGATGTCGAAGTTGATTCTGATGTTAACAGGGGTGTAGGTAACAACACTAGCTTTACTTTTTGCAATGGGCCAAAGATGTTCACATTTGGGGGCTTTTTGATCATCTATTTGCACATTTTTATGTTTTGACGATACGTTAGATCAGCTTTAGAGCTAACTTGCATCCAATACCGTTCAAGATTCGTTATCTCCGCCCCTGAAAACATAGAAATCGCGTTGCAACATCGAAAAATCCTGATTTTTGAAAAGTCACCCCTCTTGATCCGCCCCTGAGAATTTCGAAAACGAAAATAGACCTTATTTGTAGGTTCAGCACCCCAAATAACTGTTCCGAGCGACACTACAAGTTCAAGATCGAGAACCTGTGGTCTCAAATATTCATCATGCTCCTCTCCACACCACTCCAACTAGCGAAAAT